GTGTGTGTGTGTGTGTGTGTGTGTGTGTGTGTGTGTTTGGTGGCGGGGTGAGGGGAGAGGGGTGCTGGAGCTTCTATTTCATTTTAATGTATATTCACTCCCATGAACCCCATGGATGCTTCTCTCCACCCCTTTTCTTTGCTTCTGCCTCAGTTTCCTCATGTTTTTGCTCCTGCTCCTGTTTCCTCTCCCTTCCTGAACTCTTTCCTTGGCCTTCTCAACTCATTCACTGCTGTTGCCTGCTGTCGTCTCCCCTTTCCTTGTTTCATTCCTACTTAGGATTCCCCACTCTTGATCTTTGCGGTAGGTGAGAATTTTGCCTCTTCTCCTGCCTCCCAGTCTGACTCTCCCTAGTTAGATGTCAGTCCCAAATAGGTTTTTCTCATTTTAGGCCCACCCCTACCTTGCTTTGGGGAGCTCCAGAGACCAGCGGGCCTGAGCGTTAGGAAGCAGCCTTGGAGGTTGCCTTGGTGCTGCTCAAGGATGTATCCAGCAGGGGGCAGTAAGTGATCTTGGTAGTGTCCCTGGCTGCCAGGCCCTTGGCAGGGGTGGTCTCTTCAACATTCCCATTCACCTAAAAGCTCTTTTTGGATTGGGTTTCTCATTCCATTTTTGCTTGCTCCCTTCCACACTCTTCTCTGGGAGATTTAATTTTATGCTTTCCTTTGTTACAGCCTCTTCCCCCCCTGGAGAATTCCCCTCCCCCCCAAAGTTTGTTTTGTGGTGTTATGGTGGTAACTGCAGTTCTGAACAGGTTTTTCTCTTCTTTTTTCCTCCTCTGGAATGTAGACTGTATATGTTTAATAACTCACCTTCTCTCTCCTTGCTCAAAATGTGGGATACGCGATGACTGTGACCCTGGTTGGAAATTAAACTTGTTTTATGCAGCTTTGGAGCAGACCTTCATCCTTGATGTGCAGCAGCCATGGGACAGTAGTGTAATGGTGAGGGTACTTCTGTCTTTGGTCCCTCTCTGTAGACTGCTCCTTCTCTCAGCAAAGGGGTAGAGGGTACACTTGACAGGGATGGGGCTGGGGGAGAGTGAGATTATTGAGGAATTTAGGCTTATCTCTACACTGCTTACTACTTCCCATCATACTCCAGAGAGGAGCATAAATGAATTGGGCACCAGAGTGTGCCTTTGTGACTTTGCTCCTTAGTTGTAAAGGGTTTAATCCTGTACTTTGCTTTATTTATCACCTGCTGGTAGACACTAGAGACTTGAGTGGCTAGAGGACCCTGAACTCGGAGTGACCCAGACTGCCTCCACTCTCAGATCTCCTGAGCCCTGTGCATCAGGTGCTTATAGTTGCAGGGTCCCCTCATCCATAGACTGGAGTCCCCTCACTCGTCTAATTTTGGATTTTGGCAGTGAGTAAGCATGAAGGGTAAAGGCCTGGATAGTGTAATGAACTTGATCCTCTTTACAACTGTGGCCCTGTATCACCACTGCTTCAGGCATGTGGTTCCCCATTGTCAGGATGCCAAACCTCATCCAGAGATTCCACAAATGTCTTGAGGGAAAGGACAAGCCTCCGCCCTCCCAACCCACTCCTGTCACTACTCTCTTCCTCTCCTGCTAATACTGTCTGGCTCCAGGCAAAGAAAGAGATAGTGCTCCCCTTTCTTTAGGGGGTGAGATCTGGGTGAGCTAGGCAGGCCATCCCCACTCTTGCCACTTTCTTAAGTGTTGTGGGAAAGGGACAGGTTTTAGGCATATAGTAAGTTTGAGAGCCCCGAGTGCCAGTGTGAAGTAAATCATTTGTATTCAGTTACCTCCCTGGTCCTCAAAAGCTCTGCCTGGTGACCAATGTTACTGATAAGAGCACCTTTCCCAAGTGCTTTATTTGTACATTTGTAAGTATGTTCCTTCTAGAAGAACCCCTCATAAGATCGTGATAATAGAGAGGACTTTAGCTGGATGGCAGGCCAGTGGGTGTCTTTTGACCCCTGAAGAGGACGACCTGATCCGTTTTGTCCCTCAGTACTCTATTTAAGATTCCAGAAGGGAGGTGCGGGGGAACCCTCTTGTGTCAGTTGCTTAAACCTTCCAGCTTCTTTCAAGAGGGGTTGGGGGGAAGAGGGAGAGACTTAACCTGGAAAGTAAGTGTTTAGCATCCAGCTCTTAGGACAGATAGCAACCTTATCTGCCCAGAACTTGAATAGCTCTTCAGTCATGGCTTGGCAGACTTGGGCCCAGGGTCTACCTCAGAATAATCTGGGTAACGGAGCTTCCAACATGAGCTTGGAGAAAGTCAGTGGAAGGCTTTGGATTGGTCAGGCTGGTGTAGACAGAACTGTCCTCCTCGTTACAGAGTTTGGGGTCAGTGGCAGGGAAAATGAGTGTGGGTATGTGTGAGTTTCTCAGACTAGAGGTATAAGGTTTGAAGGCTCTGGGGATTCGCTGCTATCACTTCCAGTTCAAGTGCCTAGATTGGTCAGAGCAGAACATTGACAGGTATTTACTGAGTACTTTTGAGGGTTCCAGACCTGTGCTAAGAAGGAGTCAAACCACTGGATAGACCTGGGAATCCATTTCTGGGACGCTTTGAAATCCTTTGGGATATCCATAGTGCAGTACATTGGGGTAGTGAGAGTTGGGGAATAACTGGGGGATACCCCTTTGCTACTGCTTGCTGCACAGAGTGGTGTCTTTGGGCAGGCAGTCATAGTACTAAGAATGCTTCCAGTTCTGAAGGGTGTGGAATTAGGAGGGTCAAAGTCCATCTCTCTACTTTCTAACCTGGTACCTGGAGGGATAGAGTTTCCTGCTGGTCGCTGGGGAAAGATAGGATCCAGTGGCCTTCCTTCCTCTACAGGTTTTTCATTCTAATTGGGTTTCCTGGCCCTGATTGCTGGGGTTGGGTAAGAAATGACCCTGAATTCCTGAGCAAAGGGAAGAGGAGGTTAAGTCTGAGGAAATCCAAACCTTATGAAAGGGAGCAAGGCCACTGAAGGCAGTGGCTGGAGGTCTGGAAGTGACAAACTTGTGTCAGGACTGACGACCATCATGGCTTGAAGGTGAGTGTCTGCTTACGTGTGTCACTTTGGCCATCAGCTACAGAAGAGAGGATCTGGGCTCTAGTTTAGGAACAAATCTGGTTTCCGAACTGAACATCGTGGAGTAGAGAGGATGACACTCAAGCCAGAACTTTGACTCTCTAGGCCCAGAGCCAACCAGTGTTACCTATGCACGCTTCCTCCCACCACCCTTACTCCTAACCAGGCACGTTGAAAGCTGTCTCTGAAGAGGTCTGGACAGTCAGTCTGGGCCTGGCAGGAGGTTTGAGAATGAACTTGTCCACCTGGCACCCTGCCCCCCCCCCCTCCGCCCCCCCCAACATCCACCCCTTCATCACACACATTGTTGAGAGTCCTCCTAGAACAGAATTGAGTACAAGACCTTTTAAGGGTTGGAGGACTTAGCTTGGGGCTCTGAACCACAGGGATTTAGATGTTAGCTTCTTTCTGCATTCTTAATGTAGAAAGAGAGGTGCTTTCTTGGCTTTAGGTGATAAGAGATGGAGAATCTCAGTTTTTGCCTATGCCTTAGGGAAAAACATACTGATGGGATGAACAGCCATGGGGGGAGTGGGGAGCAGTACTGCTTCAGTTTTGGATGAGCGAGTGCATAACCATACCTAAAAAAACATTTTATCATCCAGGGTATGCATACCCTTGAAAATACGGCATTAGCTTTTGAATCCAGATTTACATATGCTGACTCACAGGCTTTTTATTTATTAACAGTCTTAAGGGGCGCCTGGGTGGTGCAGTCGGTTAAGCGTCCGACTTCAGCCAGGTCACGATCTCGCGGTCCGTGAGTTCGAGCCCCGCATCAGGCTCTGGGCTGATGGCTCAGAGCCTGGAGCCTGTTTCCGATTCTGTGTCTCCCTCTCTCTCTGCTCCTCCCCCGTTCATGCTCTGTCTCTCTCTGTCCCAAAAATAAATAAACGTTGAAAAAAAAAATTTAAAAAAAAAAAAAAACAGTCTTAAAAACAAACATATTAAAAACATTTAAAAAGCAGTGCCCTGCTTACTATCTGGCACATAATAGGCATTCAGCTTTGATGAGTGAATAAACATAACTGTCCATAACCAAACTGGGCCGCCTGGTGGGCCCCGCATGAGTTCAGGGGGCTGTGGTAGAGTTTCTAGTACTCACTGACAGAGACCCTTTGAAGGGTGGAGGCCTTTCCGGGAGTGGCCCTCTGATTTCAAAGTTGTGCCTCCAGTCAGGGTTGTGCCAGCTCCTCTACCTTTCCCAGAACCATCTCACCTTTCTCTGTTCTCCTAACTTCACCCAAGGAGAGAGCTTCTTCCTCTCTGTTCCCTTCTGGGTCCAGGTGGGCTTGTGCTGCCCTCTGTGGGTGATCTTGTTGCCTTAGTTTTGCCCTAGTCTCACTCCTGCCCCCCACCCCCACTCCCTCCTCACTTCCCCTTTCCATTCAGAGTCCTGGACCTGGACCGGGCAGCAGCCCTTCATTTTCATGAAACCATTCCAGTCAGCCCATGCGGAAGTGCAGTATGGGCTCTCACCGCTTTGCTCCAAAACCTTCAGTGGATTCCCACTGCCTTAGTCTGACATCAAATCTCTCCACAACCAGCTCTTGCTTTCCTCCCCAGCTACCTCTTTCTACTCTTCTGCTTGAATCCATTACTTTAGCCAAACAGGTATACTAGTTTTTCCCAAATATCCGGCTTACTGCCTTTATCCCCTTTCTCACTTGTTTAAAAATACCACTTTTCTTTAAGATCTACAAAGCTGCCCATGACCTCTCTAATCCCAAGGATTCCTTTTTCCCCCCTTGCTGGCTCCTTTAGTTCTATTAGCATAATTCATTCAACATCTCTCACACCTTCCCTTATATTGTTATATATCATGTTCATTCATTTAATATTTAATTTGGAAATTTATTTTTGTAACCAAAGTAATCTTCATTGCAAAACATCCAGACAATACATAAATGTACAGAGCAACATGTGAAACCTGTTTGCCTCTGTTTTTCTCAATGTAACCACCCTCAGCTATTTGGTGTGCCTCCTTCTGGTAGTTTCTTTTCTAAATATACGTAGCTCCACACATTTGGGGAAGGGCTAAAACATAAATGGACTCATATCACATTTATTATTTTTGCTTATTTTCTCATTTTTAATGTTTTATTCGTTTTTGAGAGAGAGAGAGCATGAGCAGGGGAGGGGCAGAGAGAGAGGGAGACACAGAATCCCAAGCAGGCTCCAGGCTCTGAGCTGTCAGCACAAAGCCCAACGCGAGGCTCGAACTCACGGACTGTGAGATCCTGACCTGAGCTGAAGTCAGACACTTAACTGACTGAGCCACCGTCTTGCTTTTTTTTAACATAAGGGTATATACATTTGTCTTGAAGTTTTTCCAAATTAGCATAGATATTTTTAATTGTATTAAAAGTATTGCATAGCATAATATTTATTCAAAATAAGACACATTTGTCTAGAATCTGTTATATGGGGGGTACTGTACAGCTAGTACCTGGGGGACTCCAGACATGATCACAACCTTGTCCTTGCCATCAGTGAGATGGCTCTTGAGAGAAAGGGAGAAGTGAGGCACACATAAATAATTGCAACACAACAGAAAATAACATCCCTGAGTGTATGCTGGAAGTTCAG